GGGGGCAGGCGGGGGGCGGAGGGCTGGTACGAGAGGCGGGAGCGGGGGTGGCCGGCGACCACAAGCCCACCTCCGGTCGTTGGAGGTACCATTGGTACCGCTGGTACTGCTGGCCTCCGCGTGGCCCGGCGGCGTCTGACTGGCAGGCTCCTCCTTGCCGCGCCGCCGCGCAGGCCCGCGATGCCGTGGCCGCCGTGCTGATGCTGCGCCCGGAGACAGGTGCGGCCGCCGGCGTGGCCACCGCCGCCGCTTCACTGCGGGCATGGGGGTGGCAGCCGCACTTCGCTTCCGCAACGCCAGCCTCGACACCCGCCTCATTGAGCCCTTCTTAGCTTAGCTGCAGCTACACCAGATCCCTCGGGCGCTGTGCATCCCATCATCACTTGCAATGCCTGCCTGCTACTGCCTGCCCCTGCAGCCAAGCTGGCGGCCACGGGCGAGGCGGTACCGGTGGGGGACGTGGCGCCCGGCACGGAGGTGTTGGTGCCGCCTGGCGAGTCCGTACCGCTGGATGGTACCGTGCTGGCCGGCGAGAGCGCGGTGGAGGAGAGCCTGCTGACAGGTGCGGGTCTGTTTGGGCAAAGGAGATGGGAGCGAGAGCAGCACTCTGCTTCAGAGATTGCTCTTCGCTGGTCGGCAGGGTGGCTGGTATCCGGCTGAATGCAGCCACGCCACGCTAGGCTGCGTGCCGCTGCCCGCCGCTGCACCTGCCCACCCGCCTGCGTCCCTGCCGCGCCCCGGCTGACCCTGAGGCTGCCTGCCTGCCTGCGCAGGCGAGTCTGCGCCCGTGGCTCGAGGCCCGGGAGCCGCTGTGCACGCCGGCACCGTCAACGTCGGCGCCACCACGCTGCTCATCCGCACTACCGCTGCAGCGGGGGATACCGCCGTGGCGCGGATGGCGGCACTGGTGGAGCAGGCACGCGGCAGCGGGTGTGGCGGTGATTGGGAGATGGGAACCGAGTCAGGGGGGTGCAGAGGCTGGCTTTGGGAGAGGTCAGGGGCAGCAGCGCCACTGCCGCCGCACCTCGCCCTTTACCCTTGCGCTGCCCCCTGCCCTGCCCGCAGGCGGCCAGCGAGCAGAGCCCGGCAGAGGCGCTGGTGGCAAAGGTGCGGCGCGGGGCGCCGGCAGCATGCCTGCTGCTGTGCATGCATGCAGCCATGCATGCATGCAGCCATCAGGCCCTGGCAGGATCCGCCGTGCTTGCCACTGCCCTGCGCCAGCCCGCTGCCTGCGTCAGCTCGCCCCACCCACCAGTCCACCCGCGCGCAACCCCCGCGCTCCCTTGCCGCCCCCATTCATCTCACCCGCCACACCCAACCACGCCCAGCGACTCGCCACATCGCATGCTCGTGAGCTATGGACCCTAATGTTTGCTCCCCATCTCCCTGCCCCCCGCAGTTTGCCCGCATCTACACCCCCGTCATCCTGGTGTCCTGCGCCCTGCTGGCCTTCCTGCCGTGGGCCTGGGTGGCGCCCGAGGATCGAGGGGTGCGCGCCGGCGCGGCTGCATGCCGCGCTTTCTTCCTCCCTCGTCCCCTGGGGAGCCGGCTGCATGCCGCGCTTTCCTCGGCCCCTCCGCCCGTTGCCCGTTGCCCGCGGCTCATTCTTTCTCGCCGGCCAGCCTGCCAAGATGCGCCGAGCTGTGCTGGGGAAGGAGCTGCGCTGCGCCACTCTGAGCCGTTTGATGAAACACGCTGTGCCACGCTGTGCCACCCTGGCGCCACGCAGGACTGGGTCTACCTCTCCCTCCAAGTCCTGGTCACCGCCTGCCCCTGCGCCCTGGTGCTGTCCACCCCCGCCACCGTTGTCTGCGCCCTGGCGCGCGCCGCCGGCAAGGGCGTGCTCATCAAGAGCGGTGCCGCGCTCGAGGCGCTGCGAAGGGTGAGTGAGGGCCGGCGGCGCCGGCGGCGGGGCTGCGGACTGCACATGCGCGCACAAGCGAACCGGAGCGGGGAGCCCGCTGCGGCGCCGCGTGGCGGCAGCCCAGAGCAGGCTGTATGGCAGCAAGGCAGCAAGTGTCTCGCCACCCCTGCTTCCTTTTCTAACTGGGTGCCTCGCGCCCGCAGGTGTCGGTTGTGAGCTTTGACAAGACCGGCACGCTGACCAGGGGCAGCTTCCAGGTGGTTGCCTGCCAGGTGAGGCAGTACCGTCCCGCCACTGCTACATGCACGTCAGTGTGCACCAGCATTCGCAGCCGCAGCGCCTCCTCTCCCCTGCACCCCTCCCTCTGGCCTGCCCGCACGCCTTGGGCTGAGCTTCCGCGGCCGTGCCTGCTCGCCTCCTGCCTCCCTCTGGCGTGCAGCCCGCGGCCGGCTGGTCTGCGCGCGACCTGCTGCGCCTGCTGGGCTCGCTGGAGCGCGGCAGCAGCCACCCGCTGGCGGCGGCGGTGCTGGGCTACGCGGCGGCGCAGGTGCGGCATGCGCGCCGCTCCCTGGAACCGCCGCCTGCGGGGTTGCAGGCTGCGCGGCTGCCAGCTGATGCGGCGATCCGGGCCGCCTCGCTGCATGGGCGCCCGCTTCCCTTCTTCCAGCACTGTACCGTAACATTATCCCATGCCGTACCGCAGGGTGCCGTCTGCGACGCAGCTGTGGACGGGCTGGAGGTGGTGCCAGGCGCCGGGCTGGTGGCGATGGTGGAGGGGTGGCGCGTGGCGGCGGGCACCGCGGGGCTGCTGGAGCTTCACGCCGGCGTGTCGGGCCCCGAGGTGGCGGCGGCGCAGCGGGCGGTCGACGCGGAAGGTGCGCACTCCGCGTCGCACCTCCCGCAGCACACCGCATCGTAGCCAGCGCTGCTCGCCGCCACCAGCAGCGCACTCCGCTGCGCCGCTGCTGGCTCCTGGCCGTGGCCACACACCGCCACTGCCACTGCACCACACGCAACACACACACGCACCATTCTGCCCATCCACGACCCTCACCTGCACACCCTTCCAACCTTGGCCGGCTGCAGGCGCCACGGCGTGCCTGGTGGCGGTGGACGGCCGGTTTGCGGGGTGGCTCAGGTGGGGACGGCGCTGCTGCCTGCGTGCTGTGCTGTGCTGTGCTGTGCTGTGCTGTGCTGTGGTTTGCGCTGGTCGGGGAGGCTCGGGGCCCTCGCCTCAGCCCTGGTGGCACCGGGTGCCGGCAGCAGGGCAGACGCCCTCCCGCAGCGCTCAGTGCTGCGGGATGCAGGCACACAGGCTGGCTGGCTGGCTGGCAGGCTGCGCCGTGTCTTGGTGCCCAACTGCCTGCTTGCCTGCCCGCCTGCCTGCCCAGCGCCCAACACCACCCTGCCTGCCCCCCCCCCCCCC